GGGGCATTATGCCATAGCATCCATCCTCCAAAGCTGCCATTTCCTCCTGGGGGACGGATCTGTGTAGTCAGGAGGCCTCAGTTGAAGGCTGGTAACTATAGGCCTCAGGACAACGGCAGTGAGTTCCGTGGTGTAATTCCCTGTTTTGTGAAGAAGCTCTTTCTTTTGTCTGACCTGAATAGTCCATCACTTTCACTGGGAGGAAAGTTCTAGGGATGTCAGCCTCCAGGTGGGACCTGGGGATCCCCTGGAATCTCCAGACCTCAGAGATCAGTTCCCCTGGATAAAGGGGATGCCTTAGGGCATTGTACCCCACTGAGGGGCCTGTCCTCCCCCCCCCCAGGGGTTGACCCTCAAATCTCCAGGAGTTTCCCAACCTGGATCTGACTTCTGACAACTCTACCCCCCCTCATCCCCTGCCGATGGCCAGGCGGGGACCTCTAAACTGAGTCAGTGTGAGCTAACTCACAGTTTTTTAGCCTCCGGCTCACAGGGTTGTTTTTTGTGTGTGTGTCTTAGCTGAGGAAGGGATGGCTCCAGAGCAAGCTAATTTATGCAGTAGCCAAATGGCTTACTCCCAACTTTTAAGGCCAGTCGCTCACAAAGTAGAATTTTTGCGCACAAGACTTCACAGCTTAGAGGGAGCATTGCCCTATACCCTCCCCTTGTCAGTATTTGTAACTATACTGGCAAGCTGTCAGTCTGCATAAACAGCACTGTTAGATCAGGATGATCTAGTTGTGACAGTTAGTGGTCATATGATAAGGTGATTGCATCAGACTCTGCACAATCACCATGACTTGGCATTATGTAAATTGCTGTAAGATGATTGGTTTTTGTAAATATAAATGTAGAGATGTACGGTGCTGAACATCTCCTGTGTGGGATCAGTTGTCAGCGGAGCACCTTGTCGGAGTGAACTACGAATTGGACTCAGAAAGGCTGTAAATATACTCCAGTGTAAATAAACTGTAAATACTCTAAACTACTCTGTTACTCTCGGCGTTTCTTTAATACCGTCACCCCTAACTTCTAGTATTATTGGGGGAGGTATCTGTCTGTCCCCTGTCTGCCAAATATGCATACTATCACAGCACCCTGTTACCATCTCTCCAAACCATAAGTGCTCTCATTAATACTACAACGATCCTCCCAGATTGCAGAAATCAAACGGAGCGCTGGTTTCAAAGGACGGTTAACCCGCCGCACCCTCAGGGGTTAAAGCCAGAGAGTGTCCCCCGGAG